GAGGATCTAGGCTTATGCCAAATGATTTCAAGACAATGATTAACAAGTTAAACTACATCCATGATCATACTCTAGGTAGCTACTCTAGAGTAAGCATTAGGGTTCACTTGGATAATGAATATCAACAATTCAACATTCCATAGTTGGGGTTAATCCCTCATAACTATTTGAACCCTAAATCTAACAAAGAGATCTACTCAGACATAACTGAGAGATTCATGACAACTAGGTAGTAATAGAAACTCATAGATAGAGGATTGAACTTTTGGTTCTTGGCACAACAAATCTCTTTGTGTGTTTCCTCTAGATCTAGAATTCTATAACCTTTAAGAAATTAAGATGAAAAGAAATACTTTATAGAATAGAACAATGTAACAAGAAAAGTGTGCAAAGCTTTTCAAGTACAAAAGGTATCAAAAGGTATTAGAAACATAAAAAGCATGTAAAAGCACACTTTGCCAAACACAAAGGCAAAAACTATAAATAAGAGTTCCATTAGGTTAAAAACTCGTCAGGGGCATTTTTGTAATATTGGGAAGACTTGGGCTTCGAGTCGCCCAAGTTGAACTTGTTCTCCACGCATCATATCGATCGATGGTACATGGTGTACATCGATCGATGGAGTATCTCGACTTCATCTTCAATAGAAGCGTCATCGATCGATTACACAAGGTTTGTATCGATTGATATGTGTCCTCATTATCTGATCTTCATAGTCATCTCGGAAAACTCTCCTTTAAGCTCCAAAAGGGCACCTAAATCTTCATTTTACTCCAAAGTGCTCCTGAAGCTGAAAACATACCTAATAGACTCCAAAACATATATATAACTCATAAAAACATATCAAAACCATGGCTAAAAGCGGGTCAAAATCATGGTCTATCACCTCTGTTATTATAGTAACCTCGTCCTCTCTTGTAGTGTCCTCTGTCAGTATGGAAAGCTAGATGAGGTGTTGTCTCAGGTGCTTGGTTGTAGACTTACAGCTTGTCGAGCCAGCTTAAACAGAACATCTTCAAAACTAATATCTGGAGTTGAGTCCATCGAGTGTTTAATAACAGTGAAGATAGACTCATATTCCTTACCCAAACCAGTTAAAGCTCCATAGATTTTTTCCTGATCTGAGACTGGAAAGCTTATATAGTCTAACTGGTTGCACACACTCTTGACACTACTAAGATACTCTTCCATCGATTTCTGGTTCTTGGACATACCTTGCAGCTTTCTCTGTAGGTCAAGCTTTCGAGTAGCTGACACATGGTTTCACTTCTTCGCCAAGCTCAACCAGACTTCTTGGCGTAGTTAAGGTCGTAGACAGAGAAGAGAGCTTCTTCTATTAGAGAACCAAACAACGATGCTATTAAGCTAGATGGGCTTCCAACCTAAACCAATTGGTGATAAGTGGAGTGTCCCATCTATCTTATATATTGCTAAGAATCCTTTCCAACAACCGATGTGGGACCTTTGTCCCTAATACGCCCCCTCGAGATGATGGCTCTTTGAGCGTCAATCTCAGAATGTTTGGGCAATGATCGATGGGCCGACTTTGGGCTGGATTGATAATGGATCAGGTTGGACTGCGTGGATCATGCGCTCTGATACCATATTAAGTTAGATGGGATTCCAACCTAAAACCATCATAAAACCAGGTAAAGACTGATTTGAAAGAAAAGACTCAAACTATGTCTTCTACAAAAGGTAGTTTGTAGAAGAGAGTTTCAAGGTGACACATTGAGAGATGCTCAGTGAAGAAGCAGACAAAGGATCTACGGATTCAGTCATGGGTCTGATACCATGTGAATCTCTATGGTTTAAAAAAGAAGAAGAAGATAAGAAAATTTTATATTTCTTTCAACTTAAGCTGCTATACAATGTGTTCATCTCTTTATATATACAAGAGAAACCCTAAATCTCACATTAGCACACAACAGCATAAGCATCTAAACAATGGAATCTGTTAAAGGTAAAGGGATCTTGAGTTGTGGTTTTGAGACCATCAGTTGTCTTCTCTGTACGTTGACGAAGACACTATTTACTAACTGCTAGCACAGAAACTGTTGTGGGCTTGTTGGGCTTGACACTCTATTTCTGTGTTTGAGAGCTAGGCCCAATTTTGTTTACCAAACCTTATGGATCCGACATAGTCTCTAAGTCACTCAGTCCAATAGTTTTTATTGCGATTTTATAGGGTTCTGAGTTTCTTAACAGTTCATATCTGATTTTGGTTGTAATTTTAGGGTTTTTGTTTTGATTTTGTTTTTGAAGCTAAACTTCATGTGCAAGCATCACAACTGGCTGGAGTTTTCTATTGTCACCCGAGGTAACTTCTCCGTCTACGCTTGAGTTTATGCTTTTGTTTTTTTTTAATTTCAGAGCCAAAAGATTATTAGCTGACATTAATCTAATAATGTTCTGTAAAATCCTTATTTGGAGAAATTGTCCTGATATATTGGTTGGTATTGCGCCTAATAAGAAAATGAATGCTATGAGATGAAAAAAAATGACACAAGGCTTTAAATGTCGGCTAAGAATTGGTTTTCCACTACCCACAGCTTAAGACAGTCTTAAGAAAAGGCTCATTATCAAGATATTGAGAGAAGAGAGAAGAACTTAAAACTGTATCAATAGGTTAACGAATCATGTACATGTGGGTTTGTTTATATAAAAGTAATTATACACGTGTATAGAACCGTATACATAGCCTCTGTATCTATACAAGTATATGAGACTAGTATATGTAATAACTCTATTTTGCCACCCACGGCTTAGTCTTAGAACAAATAGATGTCTTTAAGCAGAGACTATGTTGCTTGTTGGATGGAGAAAAGTGCCCACGGCTTTGAGCCTGTTTTTAGACAGAGACTATGTTTCCTTATTGGATGAAGGATAGTACCCACGGCTTTGAGCGACAGTGACTATGTAGCTTGTTGGATAAATAAAATCAATAAATGTACCCATGGCGTTGAGACAATGACTATGTTGCTTGTTGGATGAAGGAGAGTACCCACGGCCTTGAGCATGTCTTTAGAGGAAGTCTATGTTGCTTGTTGGATGAAGAAAAGTACTGACGGCTTTGAGCAGATCTTAAAACAAAGACAAGATGACTTAGCTTTGACTTGTCGGAGTAAAGAAACTGTCCACGACTTAACATGTTGGATTCAAGACAAGATGGTTTCATTTTGACTCGTTGGATGGAATAACGACCAACATATACAAAAAAATCTTTTAAGACAAGGACTATGAAACTGAAAATTGCAAAAGTCTTTGAGCAGGTCTTCAGACAAAAAACTTTTTTGGAATTTTGACTTGTGGATGGAAAAACTACCCACAGCTTTGTGCAATCTTTAGACATAGACTAGTGGCTCGACTTTAATGTGCTGGCTAGAAGAAGTACCCACTTGAGCAGTCTTTAGACACAGATTAGTGGCTCGACTTTAACTTGTTGGCTAGAAGAAGTACTCTCACCTATGGGAAAGTTTTTCGACGAAGACTATATGACTGTTTACTTATTAGATGAACAAAACATACCCACAGCTTTGAGCAGTCACAATACAAAGACAAGATGGCTCAACTTTGATTTATTGGATGGAATAATGACCAACAAGTTCAAAAGTATTATGGAAAACATATACCTTCACCATAATAAGGCTTAGACAAAGACCGNCCTATGGGAAAGTTTTTCGACGAAGACTATATGACTGTTTACTTATTAGATGAACAAAACATACCCACAGCTTTGAGCAGTCACAATACAAAGACAAGATGGCTCAACTTTGATTTATTGGATGGAATAATGACCAACAAGTTCAAAAGTATTATGGAAAACATATACCTTCACCATAATAAGGCTTAGACAAAGACCGTAGATCTGTTTTTGACTTGTTGGAGGGGTTGAAAACGGAAAAAAAAAATAGTCCAAAGAGAATCTTGTGACAAAGGCTGAACTGAAAATGGCTTCGATTTTGAATTTGTTGGATGGGATGATACGACCAACAGATCAAAAAACTTTTAAGACACAGACTATAAATTGACAACATATTGTTCACTTGACCATGAGGCTTACACTATGATTGGGTTTCAGTTCGTTGGATGGAAATAAATGACCAACTTCTTAAAAAGGTTATGAATCAAAAACTGAGTCTTTACTATACTACAAGGCTTAAAATAAAAGTCTCAAGACCAAGACTATTGATTGGTTTCTACTTGTTTGATGGGTAAAACGACCAAAAAAATACAAAAGTCACTATCCAAAATATTATGAATCAGAAAAAAAATAATTGACTTAATCAAGGTCTTTATAGAAAGACTGTGCACTGGTTTTGTTTTTTTGGAGGGAAGATACGACCAACAATTTTAAAGAGACTATGAATCAAAGAGTGATTCCTTACTTTATCCACCACGGGGCTTGGCTTATACAGGCCATAAAGGCATGTTTATTGGAGGGTTCTTAGAGTGAGGTTTTTAATTCATGATTTGATATTTTTATTGTTTTTTTCTTACAATTTTTGGCTAAGAGCCGGTTCTATATGAACTATGAAGTAAGACTAACTAATTCGTATTTAATTTTTCAGGTATGTGCTCCTGAAGGTGTTTACGTTGTTGGATAATTTACAATTTTCTAACAATCATGAGAATCACAAGTAATACATGAAGTAAAGACGAGTTTTGATTTTCACGGAACATTGTGCTTAAATAAGAGCAAGAATATCGTGGTCCTAAACCTCAGTCCTTAGTAATATTAGGCCCAAAAATAAATAAAAAAGGCTGATAAATCGAAGGACGTGCCTTATCTAAGGAACTTTCTTGGTGCGTCCTTATTGCCACCTGTCGGCTTGCTTGTGATGAAGCGGTGAAGAAAATCGACTTTGGCTATCTAATCAGATCCTCGTCCCTACCACGCTCCTCTCCTCTCCTCTCCTCAATTTCGATGTGCGACTCATTTATATCCGATCAAAATCCTTGAAACTCAACGAAGGAAAATTTAATCTCCATCTCGAGTTATGGGATGCTTTCCGGTTTGTTTCGGTCGCCGGAAGAATCGCCAACGTCAGAAACGTAGAGAATCCGATCAGGTTAGAGCAAATGTAAGTCTCTTTCATCCTTCTTTGCATGAGCTTTTAGTGGTCAATTTGTTCGCGATCGAACAGCGTTACTCTTCCAGATAGATATAGATATTCATCTTCGTGTTTAGGTTTGCTTGACTCGAAGAAACTCTTTGTCTTTTTTTTTTTTTTTGCGTAGAATCTCTATGTGGAATCTACAAAACCTGTTCATCGTAATGATAGAGTCCCGGAAAACGCTGTGATTCCAGTGACTGAGATTTGGTGAGTGTTGTTGATTTATTCGGTAATTGTCATATAGATTCAAGAGCTTTGTTTAAAAAGCTGAACATATGCTGATTTTGTGTCAGTTACGTAAGTAGTGTGGAATCGAGAACCGTTTGTTACTTGATGGGAGTTGTTTTAGGAAGTGATGTCTTTTGTTTGCATGATTTGTTTTTTGGTTTCTTAGGTATGTGGATCTGTTCACGAAGTGTCTACATGTTCAGCACTTGGAAAGCTTTTGATTTACTGCTCAGGTTCAAGTAAAGGTGGACTGTTTAACGATGTTCAAGTCTCTGGTCACTTTGTTCACAGGACCCGTTTCTCTAGGACTTCGGGAAGGAGCTTCCTTCCTCTGCAGTGTCGGAACGATGACATTCTGTATGTTTCTGATCCTTGTGAGCATTTGGATAAAGGAGGAGGAGAAGATGGTGATTTGGGATTCTTCCGTGGGATTTTCAAATCGTTTTCAATGTCAAAGGTGAGGAAGTTGCTGATTAGGAAAGGGACATCGTTTCATCCCACAGAGGTTTGTCCTTATTGCAAAGCGAAGCTGTGGAGTATGCTTCAGGCGAGGATGATACCTCAGAGTGCCAGCTGTAGGTTGGGGGCTTATGAAGATAGCATTGAGTATTATGTCTGCCTCAATGGACATATGCTTGGAGTTTGTACTCTCTTACCTTTGGACTACCTCTACAGATATGCTCATTTTGGATTGTGTCTAAAACAGCAGAGTTCTGGTTTTTTCCTTAAGAGACAAGCAAGTTCACAGGTTTACTTCAGAAAGAGAATCACAGATGTATATCATGTCATATAAAAATTAACCTAAGGACCAACCAAAAGTCCCACCAATAAACACAAATTTCTCTAAAGTCCTATAACAATGTCCTAAACTATCAATATTAATAAAAAACTCTAAGGACTTGCTACAAAGTCCTACTGATGTTGATGCTCTNACAAGCAAGTTCACAGGTTTACTTCAGAAAGAGAATCACAGATGTATATCATGTCATATAAAAATTAACCTAAGGACCAACCAAAAGTCCCACCAATAAACACAAATTTCTCTAAAGTCCTATAACAATGTCCTAAACTATCAATATTAATAAAAAACTCTAAGGACTTGCTACAAAGTCCTACTGATGTTGATGCTCTTAAGCTTCCAAATTCCTATTTTGACAGCTTAAAGAAAATAGTAACTTTGTTTATTGTTATTTTCAGGTACGTGCTTCAAAAGGTTTCCATGTTCTCATTGGTCGCAAATGAGATTGCTTTGTGTAGCATAAGTTTGTTTCAGGTATATGTGTTTCTACACTTTGCTTTTATGATTTGATATTAGTACATATGAAATCATAAATAAAGCTACGTGTTACACATGTTAAGTCATACATTAGAAATACATATCTAAGCACCATTTATATAAATATTTGAAATTAAAATTTTATATCTTTCTGTGACAAAAAAAAACTTTTGTATCTTAACTGAATAGATTAAAATTGAGATATCAACAACCAATCAAATTAAGAAAATTTATGAAATTTCACATATGAATGATATCTGAGCTAGAATAATTTAAGTGACTTTTAAAAAATTATTTTTACTGAGATATACTAATATATTTAAGAGACTTTTATTGTTACATCTCCTTCTATTAATTTTTATCTATTTATTAAAAATGGAATCATGATGATATGACATTCCTCTTTTTTACAAAAGAGTGTCCTTTTAAAACATTTCACACATTATAAAATTACAAAAAATACTAATCAATATTTGTTTGATTTGTAATTAATAAAATAAAATGATTTAGGTTTAGTTTGTTGGATTTAAAAGGAAAAAAAAATGTACATTTATATTTGAAATGTAAAATGGCATTCTTAAACAAAAAAAAATCACAGAATGACATTTCTTATAAAAAATAATGAGTACATATTAGTAGGCTAGTAGCAATATAAGGAAAGTCGACTTGCTAAAAATAAAATTAAGAAAATTTGTTTCTCCAAAGATCTCGAAGCAAGCAATGCAAACTACCATAACCACAATAGAATCAACTTGCATTGCTTCCCATAGATAACACAACACTTATCCGTCACTCTATAAATAACCCTTTCTACCTATAATCACTTCCTCACCGCAGCAGAAAAGCCATATAAATTCAAGAAAGAAAAACAAACTCATACGTTTTTGTGTAAACTGTGAAATTCTTATTTATCGTATCCATAATAATCAAAATGGTATTGGTATTGTCGTATGTGTTCGTGGCTCTAACTATTATTTCCATGGATCTTAGGATCACTCAAGCCACATCCCGTGTCACTTTTCACGAATCATCCATTGGTGATTACCACCAACAATGGATGATCCAGTTCTCTCGAGTTTATAGCAGCGAAACCGAGAAACAAATGAGGCTCAAAGTGTTCAAGAAAAACTTGGAGTTCATTGAGAACTTCAATTCTAAGGGGAATCAAAGCTACAAACTTGGCGTCAACCAGTTCACTGATTGGACAGAAGAGGAGTTCCTATCCACCCACACCGGTCTTAGTGGCATTAACGTTACTTCACCATCCAAAGTGGTTGATGAAACGATGGCATCTTGGAATTGGAAGGTTAGTAATCTTGTCGGCGAGAGCAAAGACTGGAGAAAGGAAGGAGCTGTAACACCTGTCAAAGTGCAAGGAGAATGTGGTAAGCTTGCCGGAATAATATGAAAAATAGTCTCTATTGGAAAACATTGTGATAGAGTAGTTTAATGTCATAATTAAACTCCACATACAAAACTTAATACCCAAGTTAGGGTGATCATTCTAGGTTTAGACTTTACCTATACGATATTCATTTTATAACAATGAAATAATCCAGATATATATGGACAGGTGGTTGTTGGGCGTTCTCAGCGGTTGCAGCGGTAGAAGGTCTGACAAAGATTTCCCGAGGAAACCTCGTATCACTATCCGAACAGCAACTATTAGATTGTGACAGACCAGATAACAATGGCTGCGGGGGCGGAACAATGCAAAACGCTTTCAATTATATAGTATCAAACCGGGGGATTTCTTCAGAAGACGCATACCCTTACAAAGTGAAAGATGGGAGTTGCTGGTCTAATGCCAAGCCCGCCATGCAGATCAGAGGGTTCAAAGACGTTCCACAAAACAACGAGCGCGCGTTGCTCGAGGCAGTGTCGAGGCAGCCCGTCTCTGTGGGAATTTCTGGGAGGGGGAACAGTTTCATCCATTACTCAAGCGGAGTGTACAGTGCGCCTGACTGTGGTACCACCGTGACACATGCAGTGACGATTGTTGGGTACGGGACGAGCCTGGAAGGGATCAAGTATTGGCTGGCTAAGAACTCTTGGGGTACAACTTGGGGAGAGAATGGTTACATTAGACTCCGTAGAGATGTGGAGTGGCGTCAAGGCATGTGTGGTGTAGCTCAGTATGCTTCTTATCCGGTTGCTTGACTAATTCGGTTACATGATTTAATATTGAAATGATCATATAAATTATGTAGTTTGGTTAATGAATTGGATGGATGTGTTCTGAATCTACATCAAAACTTATTAGCTTGAGCTTAATGTTCATTTTACTATTTCATGTAATGTATCAATTAAATAAAACTTCTAAATATATGATGTTTTAAAAAAATTGATGTTTCAATATATAAGATATTTTTCATTTTTCTAGGTAACTTTTACTTTATTAAAAACTGTATAACCAATCATATTTAACAATCTATTTTGTAACTGACTGAATATTATTAATTTAGTTTTGTTGATACAATGAAAAGTAATTTTCTTAATATGTGTGTTTTTACCTAAACATCTTATATTTAGATCTTTTATTTAGGAACAAAGGGAGTCGTTTATTACGTTTTGCTTGTTAACTATTTTTCAGAATATAGTATTCAGAACAATAATATCTATATTGTAGTAACATGACAAGAAGTAACCGTTTCCCAGTGGCGTAAAGCCTTTAAAAGGGTGACGGATTCTTGAGATTATGTGATGATTTTGTCATCACCATCGTTAGATAAGAAGGCGAATTATAGAAGTGCAGCGGTGCTCTCTCCTTTTATTTCATTCTTTTAATTTTTTTTTTCTTTTTTTTTGTCACGCTTTAATTTATTTATTTCAAAAAACGTTATATTGCTACCTACGTATAACGGCTTCCCTTCTAGCCGTAAAAGAAAGCTTTTCTTATAAAGAGAAATTAGATTTTGATCCACATGAATTATTATTTATTTTATAAATATATATAGCTAAAGCTTTTAAATATATGACTTATATTTTATTTTTAATTAAATTTAAATTACGATTATATTTAATAAGAAAATAAAGAAATATTTATTTTATAGAAAAAATATTTAAACTTTTTTGTAAGATATAGTTAAATTTTTTCAACAGATTTTGTTATATTTAATATATTTATTATTAGTATCTTTATTAATTATTAAGATATTTTGAAAATAATATATATTTAATTGGTTAAGTAACAATCAAATATTTCATATTAAATAACTAATGATGTTGTCCAACATGACTTTTAATAGAGAAGAATAGTCTTCCAGTAATCTATGTAAGTGTTAATTCACTTTTATGTCATCAAAAAATAATATATGAACGTAGATAGCATATAGATATCATAATAACATTGTGAAAAGTATTTTTTATTTTTTTTATAACGACTTGAAAAGTATTATTTTTTAACAATAGATACGGTTATGAGAAACTGTTATCTCTTAAATGCTTCCAAATAAAAAGTTTGTTAGCATGTCGGAATCCCAAGAATCTGTTAGATTTAACTATAATGTCTGTTTCTTGTTGATATAGGAATGTGTGTCAGAACACTGACTGCCCTTTTCATCAGTTTTAGGTAGTAGGGATAAGTTTGAACAACTTATAAGGTCTGTCTAGATGATTGTTTTTATTTAATTATCCCAACGTTTTTTTGGATATTTTTATCGCGAAATATTTGTGATGAATTTGTAGGCCTACATGTTTCGATTGAACCGTTTTTCAGTTTTGTTTATTCAGATTCTGAAAGATCTGTTTAAAAGGATTAAAATTATAATTCGATTCAATCTGGTCTGATTAGTTCGGGTTTTGACAAATTTTTGTTGGGCTACACTCAACTGTTGTTTTTCGTTGTTGTTAAGTTTAGTTAGCTCCATAAATTTTTGATTAAATTGAGATAATTTTGATCAAAGACAATTTTATGTAGAATGATATATTTTAAAGTCTTCTAAAAATCAAACTAATCAAATACCAGACAAATAAAATATCAAATTGAACCAAACCAGCGTCAAATCGTTGATCAATGTGTGATCTCACACTGAAGAAGATTCTCAAGTTTATTTTCATCTCAAATGCATATTTTGTTTGGATTGTGTTCGACTTTTTCTAAAAAGAGGCGGTCTGGATCTTGAAGTTTTAGCAGCTTAGTAAAGGAAAGACAGAGAGTTGCATGCAACGCTCCATATGAGCCGAACCAGATCTGAACTTCAGTAACCGAATTTTGCAGAAACCCAAACCAAACTTTAACATTAATTAACTCCCTTTTGATTTTCTTTTTTTGGTTGCCAACTATTTTTTACGGAAAACCAAACCAAAATTTTAACAGTAGTTAAGTTGCAGCATAACCTCATACATTTGTCAATACAAGATGAAACCATCAGTATCATCATCATACAAAAAGAGAAGTCATGAGGGAGAATATTACTAATTAATATCTAATAATATGTTTCCATCTCACTAATAACTTATTTCCCACATTGTATCAAATTTTAATTGCTTTAGCATCATATTAACTAAATGACAAGTCATGAGAAATAAGGTTACAGATTAGTATACAATAGTAACATGTTTCCAAGTTATTTCTTTCACTAATTTTTTTAAAAACTTATATTGATTGTTTTAGAATAGTATATCATCATCATCATGTTGCTCTAAATATATATGGTATTTATTTCAACAATTATCTAATCCAAACAATGGATAACTGTTATACAAATCAAAATATTATCCGAGTTCCACAACATCTTCTAGTTTTCTAGATCCTTTTTATTTATGTGATAATAAAACAAAGATATATATAACAGATTATCTCAGTAAATGAAACAATAAACTATATCCCAAACATATTAAAAACCAATCTTAGCAAATATTAATAAATTAAAAAAAATTATTTGGTAAGTTATATATTTTCTTAAGACAAGTATTTATCGATATTCAGTACTTATATCAAAGATTATTTTATTTTTATTTTTGCTAAGACAGTTATCAAAGATTCAAAAGTATGAAATTCCCGCTAGGCTCTATGACAATTTTTGCTCTCTATATTTTTATCCATCAAATGGAAGCAGTCGAAGTCGTTGGACCGACACAAGAACTGATCGATAGTATTTGCATCGAAAGCGGAGATTATCAACTTTGCAAAGAAATCATTCACAAACATTTAGACACAAAAACAACTAATCTCTTAGATCTCATGCATCTCATATTCCGCATCGCTACTGAACACGCAAGTGATACATATGTTTTCATCAGTAACATCTTGCGTGGACATCCTGATACTGAGGAGACTACTGGTCTCAAAAACTTGCCTAACGGCTTACACTGGCGAAATCAGAACTTTCTTGAAAGTACGCCATGATTTTTTGTCGGGAAAAATACGAATGTATGATCGTAGACATTTTATCCACAAGAAACATCTTGAAAATGTGTAGGACTGATTTTCAGATTCCTCTGAACAAGAAGAAGCTTTTGATAGAGAAGAACAGAGTGATGAAAATCTTGATCACCATGTCTGCGGTTTCGGGGTATATGGTGAAAAATGGAAATGCTTATTTGCTTAAATTAGTTGTTAGACTTATTTTTTCAATGATCTAAAAAAACTAAGTATATTAATAAGCAGTTTGTAATTGAAAAACTAGATTTTGGCGCGGGATAATTTTTTGATGAAATCTTTACATAATTGTATTTTATCTTTATTTAAAATAGGTTTGGGTATAAAGTCTTTGATCCAAAATTTGAATCAATCCAAACTAAAAACTCGATTCATACCCAGTTCAAAATGTAAGAAATATCAGAATGGATTTCTTAGGATTGTACAAAACATATCCAAATCTGAAGTGTTATTAGCTGAACCAGAACAAGTAACCGCAAAAACCAAAAAAACTTGAAACCAATCTGAATGCCCAAATTAATCACAAGTGTACATATTTGAAACATAATATGTACTTCAAATATTCAATTCTATATTTATTTTGAAATGGTATCTAGAAATACAATTTTAATGAAATATTTTAAATATCCAATTCTATATAAATGAGTATTTACTTCTTATGTTTTGCTTTTAAATTTTGGATTTAAATTCAGATATTTCTGAACCAAATTAATATAATCCAAATTTGAAATATATATGGTTACTTTATGGATTTTAGGATATAATAAAAATTAGAACCAGAACCATGTTTTGTATCCTAAACTGATTCGTCCTTATAATATAAATTTATTTTTTAGATCTCATATTTGTCAAAGTTTATTTTATTATAATAATAAATATTTATTATAATATCTTCTTAACGTTATTTGTGAAGTTCTTTGCTTAAGTGTCTTAACCACATTCATTCTCAATATATTAAGAATATATGACATGAAATATTTTTAATTGCAATATGTTATTTTTTTAATAAATATTCATTATTTTAGTAATATTTTTGAAATACGGTAATAAATAATAACTCATGTTACTATTATAGAAGCTTTCTTTATAAATTTTTTTTGGCAAACTTTTTAAAATATGACAATGACAATAACTTACAAATCATTGTTACAATAGATTATATATCATATTATATATATATATACTTATTATTAACATTAATTATAAGTGTTTCTTAACAAATAAAAAACTAAAGCAATACTAATTCCAAAAACAATTATGGATAGTTAAAAATGAAATTATATTTAAATTTATCAGTTCCTAATTTAATTAAAAACTGAATTTTAATTAAAAATCCAAAATTAATATTATATATTTTTAAATATATAGACTAAAAAATAAGAAACATATTTACAATAAATAATCACTATATACAAAAAACTATAAATAACGAATTTATTCTCACAATATATAGAGAGTTAAGGAAAGTTTCAGCATATTTCCACATGTTTACTAGCTTCAAAATATAAAGATGGATAGTCTTATATATGGTGTTTGGAGTAAATATCTCATGTCGTATACATAGATACAAAATTCTTAATTTGCTTACATAGTTTTGATAATATGTGTTTTATGATATAATTACATTTATAATTTTAGTTTTTAAGAAATATCGAAGTTAAAATATTGAAAGAATAGTATGAAAATGTAAATTAAATTTATTTTTTGAATATAATTATTTTCTATTTAAAATTTGTATATCTGCGCATGGCACAGAAAATCTCATAGTAATTTAATTGTATGGCATTCAACCCGTTTCATTTTTGATAAATGTTTACATTTCTATGAACAAAGTTGTAAGAAATTGTAGTTCTAAATTATAATAGATAACTAAATATACTATATAATAAAAATATATTTATGTCAACTAAATTTAATATTGACTTTCTAAAATTAAAATATATTAAACTATATTTTAATTTGTGTATTTTACATATTATATTAAATATAACATTATTTATTCATTTAAATATTTTTCTTTAGTAAATTGAAGTTTGGTGTAAACTGTATGAATATATATGCTATCATGCATATGTAATCCTCCTTCATTTATAATTTATAAAATAGTTGTAATTAAGTTATGTTATATATTATTTACTGTAGTAGTTTTATTATGAATATGAAATATATTTTTATAAATATTATATAAAGGGTATTTCTTAATTTATAAATGAAAATGAATTCTTTTAATAAATTTAAAATAACACTACAAGAAAAGTAAGCCTTTACTAGGAAATTTTACTAGGAAAGCAAATTACGAGATAATATAAAATTACTAAGGCCTTACTTCGAGTTTACGAGGAAAGCAAATTTCCTCGTAAGATCCTCGAAAAATTACGAGAAAGCGTTTTCCTCGTAAGACCTTAGTAATTTTACGAGGAGCTTACGAGAAAAAGTACTTTTCCTCGTAAAGCCGTAGTAAAGACTTTCCTCGTAAACGCATAGTAAAAGTTTACTACGAAATTAGGAGGAAACGGTTTATTACTACGAAATTAGGAGGAACTGGATAGGAAATATCAAATTTAAATAAAAAACATGTTTTGTACCTACTTTTCCTAGCAATTTCCTAGTAAATGCTCAGATTCGAAAATTTCTATAATACCACCTTATGTGATTCATTTATAACACACCAAAAAAAAAATCAGCTATAAGCTTGATCAAACACAAAAAAATGTCCGGTCCGGGAAATATATAACATAACATATATGATTTTACAGCCAATTTGTGACTCAAGTCGAGGAAGCAATACCTGGTATATCGACACCTGAGTTAGACAAAAGGAAAGATCAACACTTTATCAAGTGGTTGAGGAAACATGTATTTATTATTACTTAAATTTTATGCATACATTACCACAAAGTAAGTCTAATATGTCTAGTTATAT